ATTCTAATTTGCTGCACTTAGGGTCGCAGATCATCCTTGGCATTATCAAAAACTACTCACTCAAGATGACTATTATAGATAAGTTTTGCAGGTGAATTAATAATGCCATGAATTTCAAACTCCCACAGAAACACGGGCGACACACCTAGTGTTCTGTTGCATTTCACAATTTGTACTTAGGAGTCGAAAAGAACATCATGGCATTATTAAAAACCTACTCACTGAAGATGACTATTAGATAAGTATACGGGTGGGATTAATAATGCCATGAATTTCTAACTCACAGAAACACGGACGACACACCTAGTGTTCTGTTGCATTTCGTCAATTTGCACTTAGGAGTCGCAGGGCATCATGGCATCCTCAAAAACCTGCTTACTTAAGATGACTTATTAGATAAGTTTGCTGGTGAATTAATAATGCCATGAACTTTCTAACTCAGAAACACGGGCGACACACCTAGGTTCTGTTGCATTTCACAATTTGCACCCTAGAGTCGCAGATCATCATGGCATTATCAAAAAACCTACTCACCAAGATGACTATTAGATAAGTTTGCAGGTGGATTAATAATGCCATGAATTTCTACCTCACAGAAACATGGGCGACACACCTAGTTGTTCTGTTGCATTTCACAATTTGCAATTTGGGTCGCAGAACATCATCATGGCATTAAACACCCACTCTTGAATACACAAAGATAGATGAAACAGAAGAATTTCTTCTTAAAGTTAAATGTCACCCCTTAAACAAACATAATTGTAGTGTTTTCTGTCAAAAAAAAATTTAAATTTTCTTTAAGACCTCTGTATGCCTAATCACATTTTACAAAACAGTTTCTGAGATCAGCCTTTGAAGAAAAAAAAAAACATTATTAGCCATTGAAAAGTGACAGGTATTAAAGTGAAAGGAGAAAAAATTGAATTTAAATAAGGGAGAAACATTGGGCTTCAAAAATTATGTCCCACAATAATTACAAGAAAATGATATTTCAACAAACAATAAACTGGTTAACTGACCTCATTTCTCACAATTTGCTATGCAAGTCGGTATACTGACTTTATTTTTAATAAAAGGCAGTCATACCCATTGCCTACTTGGTTTGTTTCCTGAGTGAAGGATGTGTGCAGAGATTTTGGATTGGCGGGCTATTTTGGGGAATTGGCGGACTATTCGATTTTGGCGCCAATGGACAGAACCCTTGAATCAAAATGAACTGATCCAGTCGTCCACCTCTTGAAATCCGCTTCTAGAAACAGGATTTAGCTAAAGGACTTGTGGCGAATGATATCGAGCGACAGCGGACCAAAACCCCTCCATCGACGGCACGGAGAACCAACTCATACAAGCAAGAACGCCATCTTGTCAGATTGCTTAAATTCTCGCTTAAAACTCTTGACTGAATCGGAGGAGCCAAACATGCATAGCTTTCCATTACATAGGCTGGAATTCAAAGCAATGATACCAAGTCTTTTCGGTATCCAGCGAAGGAGAACAAAACCCGGCGCAATAGAATAGACGAGGATCGTCCAACATGTACACTGCCATCACTCGTGGCTCTCACTCTCAGGAATCTTCTGACAAAGTATCCTGGCAGATCTAGCGCGAGATACCAAAAGCATACCATATAAAGTAAAATCCAATTAATTCCATTGTAGGATGGGTTATACTTTTACTTGCACAATCCTTTTTCGACTTGCTGATTTGTTTCTTTGTTTTGACATTACGACGCATAAATAAAAACTGCAGGCAACCGCATGCTAAAAAAGCGGCTCAATATTTACACTGGACTCCGTGTCTTCGCTACAGATCGGCTATCGTGGGATAGCACCGCCAGTCGCAATAGGCAAAATCTCGTTTAGCCTTGAAGCATTTCAGTTTGAAAGGGAAAATATATTTTTGAAAAAGACAATTCGTTCTTCCGCTTTATTTCTTGATCATTGCTGTCCGCGCGTCCTGGCGCGTGGATTCCTCGTGCTGAAATCTGGCAAAAAAATTATCTAGAACGCAACTTGAAGGTTTGCAAGGCATACACTTTACTATAAGCAAAATCGTTTTAATTTTTTTTATTTAAATTTTTATAATGGATAGCGTTGTATTTTCATCTGGTTTTTACTATCTTGAACACGTTCTGAGCTTTCAAAAGGATTACTACTGTGGTGGCATATGACCGGGTTGACACCTTATCGGATTACGTTTTTTGGCCAGAAATTAATGTACTAATTGAATTCCCACAGCAGGAAATTCTCATGTCACCTTTTTGAAAACAAAGCGTCCATAGCAACTAAGAAATCATTCTGATCGCAAAAAAAAGTCTCTTGCGGATCCTCATGTTATATGGAAAACAGCTATAGCATCAGAATGTCTCTTTTCCAAATCTAAACTCTGATAGACACTCGGACTCGGTCATCTCATTCAGGTTGAAAGTTGAATATTCTTTGTGCGGAAAGCAGGTGTTTTCCACTCGAAAAGGTCAGACAACACAAAAAATTCTCCATCGTCAATGACATTAGACGTACGGCTTAAAAATTAGATCTTGCATTGTTTTAAAAAGACGCCATTGCGAAAAACTTTGTTGCGAACGAACATCACAGTTTTACATTTGTGTTTACATTCAGTGTCGTCGTCGTCGACCTACCGACCGATTGCATCTTAAGTTTCCTTTTCCTGCCGAAACTGACGTTCTCGTTCCAGTCTTTTCCCAGTCAACAGACGTCGTTGTCGTGAACTTCGTCGTGGTTCTTAAGTTCCCTATTGTGTCACGAAAGTCAACTTTTCTTTTCCTTCCCTGCTCGGTTTTGTTTCAGGAGGGCGAACTTCGGTTTCTGTGAGTTTCATTTATTTCTGATTGCAATTTGTCTTTCAAACTGTGTTGGTAGCCTCTGTCCATCATCAACCATCAAGCGTTCTTTTGAATTTTGAAACACTTTCCTCAAACTCTTTTGACAAATGGAGGGTTTCCGTAGTCTTTACATCAAGGATAACTTTTTCGTTTAATCTTGTGCCTTTGTAAACAACTGTGTCTTAAAGCATTGTCTTAGTGAATTTCGGTGGTGAATTTAACAGTAGGATCATGTAAGTTTGCTTCTTCGAAGAAAGTTACGATGTCTGGTTTAAAGACGGTTTAGCTGCTTAGACTTTTTGTTTCAATATATGACATGAAAATTTTGGCAGAGGAAACTGCTGTCTTTGTGCCCATCGCGGTACAGTGGGTTTGGAGGTAGAGCTTTCCATTGAACTGGAAAAAATTTTTTTTAGGATTAATCTAAGCATTTGTCGCATACAATGTTTATAACTAGGTGGGTTGCAGAAATTTTTGGCATACGCTCTGCAAACCGTTTCAATATCCTCGCTTTGTGGTACTGACTTGTAAAAAGACTTGTGACGTGGTATCTTTGGTTACTTCCTAGAAAAGTTGGAAAAAATACAATATACTCTTCTTTCTGAAAAAAATATAGATAATGTCGGTCCATGTCGGTAGTCGGTTAATAATTTTCCTGTCGTTAGTCGATAATTTTTTTCGCGTTTTGTCGGTAGTCGGTAATATTTTTTTGCCCTTTGTCGGCGCTAGTCGGCTAACCCCATTCACTCTTGTGGTTGATAAGTAAAATAACACATTCATAAGTGCTTTGCTTTACTTTATCCAAAAGCTTTACTTTTATCGTTGAAACAAGTTGAAAAACATGCATTTTCACTCTGAAATGGCTTGATCACCTTCTACTTATGACGTCATATCTAGTAACCATAGTAACTGATTATTACTAAACGTGTCTCAAAATGGGTGTGAGGGTTGAAAAAACAGCTGCTAATAACGTCAGGTACTGATGTTTGATCGTCTGCGAGAAAAAATTCATAAAAACCTCGATGGGTGGGGGGGATGGGTGGGTTGTTGTACGTCCGAGGTTTAAAAGACTATCTATGTATGTATGTTGCGCGTGACTTCTCACGATAGCCCCTAGGGCCTCCCAGGGCCTAGTTGTTCAAAAGGTGGATAACTCTATCCACTGGATAAATATCTATTCAGTGGATAGCGCTATTATCCAACATTGAACAACCAGGGCCAAATGGAGAGCTTCCTTAGGTAGAGGTAATGCCCGAATTCCCTAGTGACACTTCTTTTTTCAAAACGCAAGTCATGGTGGGTTATATTTTGTTTCTCTTTCCTTACGTACGCCCGACTTTCAGTGTCAAATTTAACAATTCAAAGTGCTGTGATCGATATTACGTTTGTACAGTTCTTATGGAAAAGTGTCACATTTAACTTACCAAAATAAAACAGAACTATAGTTTCACCTGTTTTAACTTACTTGTCGAACTCAGTGTTAGCAGAAAAAGAAAGTAGGTTAAAGAAATTTGGGCCACGTTATTATATTATGATTAACATTATCATATTGTTATTATCATTATCATCATACACACCCCTTTTAACAGTACGGTTACCACTTGTAATACTTCAAACGGAAAAAATTATGAAATGGCAAATTAAAGCCAAACTGAAACCGTCGTCCGTAAACTTGTCTTCTATCAAGTGACATTGCCTCAGCTCTAAAAAAAACAGGTGGAAGAGCTAACAAAACCTGAGAAGAGGATACAACCTGCAATAATGAATTTATTCAAATTGTTTAGTTTAAGTGTCGTAGACAAAGGGTAACTAATAAACTGGCAGATGAACAATTTAACCGCTCGTGATCTTAAAGCCACAACCGACTCTGTGTTGCTTTCTACGGTTTTCTTCTTTTCTTAGAAAATCTCTGTGAGAACAGCCACAATGGCGGATGCTCTAGGCAATCGCAGTTTCTTTTTAACAAGCGTGGAAGTCTTCTTTCTTGTGATCTCAAACGTTCTATCGTTAACCGGGAACATAATGGTGTGCATTGCAGTTTACAAGAACACACGACTACGCAGAAAAACAAGCCTTTTATCATCGCACTTGCTGTAAGTGATTTGATGTCCGCTATATTTGTCATGCCTCTTACATTGGGTGTGCTTATAACAGGCGAATGGGTTTATGGCCCAGTGATCTGCTACTTTCATTCCTTTTTGATGGATTTGTGGTGTACGTATCACCCGTCACTATGGGTTTAACAGCGTTTGACAGGTATATGAGGATTTGTAAGTCTGAGCAGCAATACAAAAAATTTTTTTCACCGAGGAAGTCACGAACCTGGATGGCATGTGCATGGTTCTTCATTGCTTGCTACAGTGTAGTTCCTAAGTTAGCTGGTCTCCAAGATTATGAGTTCGTTCCAGGATATGCCACTTGCGCTGTAGCTCATCTCAGTGAAAGTGGAAAAATCATTCACTATACCATTGTCCTCAGTTTGTTCTTCTTAACATCGTTAATAACAACAATATTCAGCTACATAAAGGTTGCAAAGATGATTCGACAGCACAATGCCGCTATGTCATCTACGATTCACAGGGCCGCAACAGGCTCAAGCATCACCGTGCAAGAACTGAAGCTGAGTAAGTCTCTCTTTGTGGTTGTGTTCTCGTTCATGATATGCTGGATTCCATTTTGGGTGATCGTTGTTGTAAGGGGCTTCCATGTCGTTGAGAAGATGCCACGAAATATTGAACTCCTTACTAGTTTCTTTATTTATCTGTCAAATACAATAAATCCTTTTATATACGCAGGAATGAATCCTATCTTTAAAAGTGAATTCAAAAAAATGTTTTGCTGTGAGCGAGGGTTCTTCAACCGGATAAACCCACAGCATTATGAATCAAATACCGCAGCAACCAAGAGATCGACACGCACAGCAGCGCTTCAGTTAGGTACTACTTCTACAAGGTAGCGGATAGAACTACTAAAACGCACAACCCTTCAGTAAGATATTAAACATCACAAGTCCATGAAGAAAGAAGTCCAACAAATTACGTGATTACGTGAACAACATGTTTGAGGAATCAGATGATGATGGTCATCTTCTGCAGCAGCATAGGCTTAGTTGCAGTAAATGCTTCTGGTCCACACGCACCTACTGACAAAACTGCCATTACTTCTCTGAAATCAGGAGACTTAGTGTTCACTGACCCATCTGCAAAGTAGAATTGTCATATAAACAATTCAAGAGTTTTCTCCCCAGACTGGTCCAATGAAGCTTTCACACATTGCAGAGGCAGCATTAATCAACAGATGTCCAGACAGCGCGTTGTCATCCACTCATGGCGCCAATCGACACCGTTGGCCCAGACGGTCCCCCATCCACGTGTGTTGAAAAAGAACGGCTTGGAAACTAAAATTTGATAGCATTTTGTTTTGAATAAGGGTATGGGCATAATTTTCAGTTGAACATGCCTAGCGAGCGTAACAATCGCATCCAGTCTGAGGATTAATGAGAGAGGGAAAATTTTATATATTTAGGCATGACAAAATTCAAGGGAACATTGGTACTTAGAAATAACATCTCATAGGCATGGAAAAAATGGGTTCATGCCCTCGCAGCCCAAAATTGACCCAGCCAACCTTAGGTCCCAGATCTCTCACCGGGTTGATAATTCATTCCCAGTTTTTGCTCCTCTGGTTTGGCATGCCGGGCATGCCAATGGTGAAGCCACTTGGTTTGGCATGCCCGGCATGCCAGGCAAGAAATTGGCATGCCCAGCGAGACTGATTTTGATGTTCGCGTCAGCATCATATCCTGAGAATCACATATAATCGCCAAATATATCTTAGGGAGCTTAAAGTTACAGGTTTCATGCCTGGCAATAAATGCAGATTATAACAAAAAAAAAAAATGTTTTGTCATAATGTGTGTCACGGGATCGACTGGCAAAACTGAAGACAGAAGCCTGGATTTATAAATAAAAAGCACAACAAAACAACATTATTCATGCATAAAATAGAATACTTAACTTGCAATCAAAGATCAATCCTTTTATTTCAAATCGATACTGACATTTCACAGGGTCCAGAGGAGTTTCGTGTGAACAAATGAATTACTTATTTAAAGTCTCACCTTGAAAAATGTCTATACCTATCGCTTAGCACAATTAATTAGCCCAATAGGATCTTTATAAATCTACTGTAATCGATTTCTTCGCTTCTTATCTGACCCAGATCGACTTTTGAAAATCAATAACCGCAAGCCATATCCTCGCTGGCACACGGCACCTCGCCCGAAGGATGACCGAAGGCCGTCGGTCTTTAGAATGATCATAAATAACCCATTTTTTCAGGGGTTTTCGACGGGTTTTGCTGTTCTAATAACAAATACATCTCCTCTGGACCCTGTAAGCTCCTGTGTCATCACGCAAGGCTAAACTCCTTGCGTTACGACACGGGAAACGGAGACTAGTAGGTGTAATCATTGTTAAAAAATTATTTAAAAAATCTATAATGCAATAGATTCAGAAGAAAACAAGTTAAGACGAGCCGAAAGTAATGAAAATGGGTTGAAAAATTTTAATAATGAATGATTGTATTAAAAGTAATTTACCTGGATTTTTATATACCTTTATTATGTTTTGGAACCTATTTTTCACCCCAGCCCTCTTCTTGGGAGTGATGGGATATGCGCGCTTCTTATTTCTTAGTTTTGTGTTAAGCCAATGGTTGATGATACAAGGGACCAGCGAGAGTAAGATTTTAGCGGGAAGTGGATGTTTTGTCCGATTCTCGTATTTCATGTACGTGACATGTTGTCGTCTCGCCTTATTTCAGACATTTATACCCTGTTTTAGATGGTTTTAGATTGTTTGCGAGTGGTTGTAGATGTTTTTGAGGTGGTTGTAGATGGTTGTAGGTGGTTGTTGAATTTTTGAGGTGGTTGTCGGTGGTTGGAGATGGTTTTAGGTGGTTTTAGGTGGTTTTAGGTCGTTCCATGTTTTAGTAACAATTTTGTCAACAGTTACTGTTGAGCTTACCTTTATGTCGGCCCTGCAGACCTTCTAATTCTTTTGACTTGTTTAGTATTTTGGTTTTTACATTGCAGAGTCCTTTCTCGAGATTGTTGTAGGTACTTTATAGGCCTAAATAAGTTTACATTGCTACACTGACTCTGTGATTGATGGAAGATTCATCCACCCTGCGCCGCCATATTGGCCGGGACACCAGTAGACCCTGGGACGAGGATTCCTTTGTAGGATATACCACAGGGCACCCACACAATCTGTTTTTTGGTGAATGACTTGGATTCATAGTTTACTGCTACTGCATCTTTCTGTAGCAATATATCGCTAACTATATATAGATCAGTGTTAAATAAACGTTGTATTACCTTACCTACGGTATATTGTTGTCCTTTTGCCTCAAACGTGGTATTTCAGCGATTTTGAATGATTTTGAGTTCGCCTGGATGCTACTGCGCAAAAAGAAAAGAACAAAAGATCGAGTTACCAAATGAGCCATTTGCCATTTTGTAGTAACTTTAACAGCCAAGATCCTGAGTAGACGTAATTCATTGAAGCACCAAAAGAAAGATGGGGTCGGGGTTGTTAAAAAGCACTTACGTTTTCAAAATCTCCCAGTTAAGTTGGGTCCGCACTTTTTCACTGCTTTTTAAACAATTAATGACTGTACCTCTGTTAGATTGTGACCTACAAGAGTGAACATGACAAAAAAATTAGTTAAAGATATGATTTCTTGAAATAGTCTTTATCGGGCAGTCAAAATGTTATCGTCTTAGGTTTTTGAAATCAGTGATTACCTAATTAACACAGGCCGTGTCTCCTGGCCCTAGCTAGTATAAAATCCCTAACCCGGCATTAATATTACATTATCTAACTCAAAGCCGGGTCAATCAGACTCCGTTTTTTTGTCTTACGTGTTGGACTGAGCTAGTAAGGCATATAGTTGGGAATTCATTGAAGTAAGTTGTAAGAATTGTATTAAAGGAAAGAGAAAGATGAGGGTAAGCTAAGGAGAGGAGGTGTTGTTACAGGCACTTACGTTTTAAATGCATTTCGTTTTGGGTCGCACTTTTGATCAACTTATGACTGCACTTCTCTTAGATTGAGTTACCTAAATAGAGTAAACAAAACAAAAATATGTACTGAGAAAATCAACGTACCCAATAAAAAAGCAAGCTGAATATCTCTCTTGTGATTCCCGTGTAGCCCTATTATTTAAACCTCGGCCGTTTTTTGCATTATTTACTACCCTAAAGCGACTGGAAGAAAATCCGCTGGGGTGTTCCGCCCGGTTCTTCAAATCCTGACCCTATTTCAGGCCAAAAATGTCACTTTCCACGCCTGCTTTCAGACCTGGCTTCTAAAATCCATACCCGTTTTCAGACCTGGCCTTTAAGCAGAAATTATGTCATCATTACTTAGATTAGGACACAAACAAAAAGATTCTTAAAATGCATTTCAATTCGAGTACTATTTTTATTTCTTTCTTGATTCATTTGGAATAAAAACGACAAGTACGCTAAGTATATATCTTAAAAATTCTGTCCTCGGGCCTTAGTGTCTCCTAAATGCTTTATTTGGCCGAGACACTTTGAAAAAAAAAAAAGAATTGGTTTGAAGCGTTGATAACCAAACAGTGCAATGAAAACTAAGATCTGTACGACTCTCGTCAGTAAGGAAAAAGGGAATGATTTTCAATTTTAGTAAATGGTTGCAGGCTAAGAAGGAACTTGTCACATTATAATTTCTACTTTTTCCTCTAACAGCCATGTCCCATTTTTGAAGTAATTAAAGTAATAACAACTTTATAAAGTACTCTGTTTGGTCATTGGGACAATGCACGTAAAACTAATTATTATTGCCTAATGTATCACTCGGTAGCAAATATTGTCCAGAGAAAGACATACTTCAACTCGTGGCCGGGTCTAATATAACCGTGTGATGAAGTTATAGTAACCTCAGGTATCCTATGAAACTAACCAAGTTTTCTGTCACCATATTAAAACCTTTTATATTCTTCTGTCACTTTATGATTGTCCGCGTGAAGGTGACCTCTTACTTGGATAGGTACCTCTTCAAATCTCTTGTTTGTTTTTCTACCATAAGCTGATCATGCATGCCTTCGTTAAGTTCCTTTATCCTTCAACGACTGAATTTTTACTTGCGGTAGCCTGATAACTCGAAACTGAGGAAAAAGAAAAAGGAAAAACTGAACATACCTCAGAATTTCTTCACAGCGTTTCTGGTACAGTTCAAATGTTATACCTTGCAATAGAACGAACGGCTTTAGCAGCAGTAACTTTCATCACGCATCGTTAAACACAAGCGATCCATGATTGTTCAGGAGAGACTAGCTGGAAACTACGATAAGCCGTTAAGAAATTTCAAAAATCAATTAAGGGTTATTTGCGCATGGGTGAATGAAGTTGACTCATTATTCTATTTTGGTACTCGCAAGAATTAATGAGAATCTATTGTATTGAAAAAAAACCTGTGAAGTTAATGATTTACATATTTGTTCCTTTTTTACCATAACGGATTGCGATCAGAACAACATGCATGATGTTAAACCATCAAATAAATGATAAAAAACGCGTAGGCCTTTGTTCATTGTTCTCGTTTTTTTTTTCTTTCAAGTATTTTAGGCCTTGTCCACAATATTTCGATTATTTCCATATTAAACTGTTGGACGGTTTTCTTTTCCGGGAGAAAGGTTTAAAAAAAAAAGCGATTTCGGTGGGCCCGCATCACTGGATGGTTTCGTGTGGACGGCGAAAGGCTGATCGGTTTAAAAATATATGGAAGTATAAAAACATGTCCGAATTCGTACAGATATGCAATCTATAAGGCCACGTCTACCTTATCGCAAAATAAATTTCTAGAGTCAAAAATGTAAAGACTTAAAATTAAAAAAAGATTTAATTGTAATTCAAATACAGCCCTGTAGAGGATTGTTTTTGCTGTTTTAAAACTCTTTGGAGGTAAGTTAAGAATTGATAATTAACATCTGAGCTTTCTTTTGCGGAAACTGGAGAGTATTTCGGCAAATTAAGTGAGTTTAACATTATAGTGTGGGCACAGCTACGCAAATTCTAGGTGTCAAATCTGCGTGTATAAATTGAAAGCCTCCTTTGCCTGTGTGCTTGCTTTCGACTTCAACTTCTCAAGTATCCTGCGTAGCTGGCGTCGAAAAGGGTAGGGGATAGGGATTAAGGAGAAAGGAGATTTGGGAGATTGAATTTCGCGCCTTTCTCCCACCCCTCCCTCTCTCCCCTTTTTTGCGCCTGCCACGCAGGCTACTTCTCAGGCGCGAATTACCCTGCCGCGACCTTCTTTCTAGCAATCGGCTGGAGCTATCTCCTTAATCTTTTACACGTTTTTTAAAAAGATTGAAACTACTATGAGGTGAAATTGCAAGTCAAAAGCGCTTGGTTTTCTACAGATAACAGCCGAACACCAAGATTGTCCATTTTTACCGTATTTCTAAGCACAAAATCTTTATCCCAAAGTATTTCTATAACGCTCTTACAGATTTCGCTTAAACTTCACGAACATCGAGGCTGCTATTGGAGGAATAAGCTCCCGTGAATGATTTTCAAAGAACAGTTCCCAGTGCTGATTGCTGCTGCAATTAAAATAGGTAATAACGTCATTTCGTTGCTATGGCAACTCCGATGCCGTTGCAACCCTGATCATAACAAATTTTCATCTTCACGTAATACAACTGTGGTGGCAATTTTTCCAAAACATTGTTTATGGCGACGTAGTTTATGCTCAAACTTGGGAGGTATTCACCCTGAAAAACTATATCGAGCCACCTTAAGACGTGATGTTGTTGGCTATGAGAACTAAAAGTATACTATAATGAATTGTTTTTACTTCGAAGAATGACAACAGCTGTGGAGGCCGAGCGAGCGAACTCGTAAGTGAGAAATTTATTTGTACGTATTTAGGTAAGGCAAATCATATATCTTTTAGGAAATAAACTTTATATGGAAAACAGCTATCACATCAGAATGTCTCTTTTTCCAAATCTAAACTCTGACAGACACTCGGACTCGGTCATCTCATTCAGGTTGAAAGTTGAATATTCTTTGAGCGTAAAGCAGGTGTTTTTCCACTCGAAAAGGTCAGACAACACAAAAAATTCTCCATCGTCAATGACATTAGACGTACGGCTTAAAAATTAGATCTTGCATTGTTTTAAAAGACGCCATTACGAAAAACTTTGTTGCGAACGAACATCACAGTTTTACATTTGTGTTTACATTCAGTGTCGTCGTCGTCGACCTACCGACCGACTGCATCTTAAGTTTCCTTTTTCCTGCCGAAACTGACGTTCTCGTTCCAGTCGTTTCCCAGTCAACAGACGTCGTTGTCGTGAACTTCGTCGTGGTTCTTAAGTTCCCTATTGTGTCACGAAAGTCAACTTTTTTTTTCCTTCCCTGCTCGGTTTTGTTTCAGGAGGGCGAACTTCGGTTTCTGTGAGTTTCATTTATTTCTGATTGCAATTTGTCTTTCAAATTGTGTTGGTAGCCCCTCTGTCCATCATCAACCATCAAAGCGTTCTTTTGAATTTTGAAACACTTTCCTCTCCTCCTGATAACGAAACGAACGTCAATAAGCTGTTTTTGTCTTTTTACAACAAACTAAATAAAATAGTCAATAAACATGCCCCCTTTAAACCTATCTCACGACGTAAAGTTAAATGTTT